AGCCTCATCTTTTTTTACGGTGGCTGTTGCTGGTGTGGTAGAACCACGTTGCCTGTGCAGCCCAGCCATGCTCTTCTGCGCCGACGCGCTCTCCTGCCTGGCCAGCAGAAGGAAGCCCTGAGCTCAAACTCTCTATTTCTGCCTTGAAATTGAAAGGATTTTTAGCAAGATGGGTTCTTTTCAAGTGTCAATGGTGTCTATCACCCTGTTTAAATTTGATTGTATTTGCTTTGCTCTCTGTTTTGCGCGGCCCTTGCGCCGCTCACTGTCCTGTTTGTGAGGGGTTAGCTCCAGTCCCCCCCGCCGTTCCCAGGTGCCAGCTCGCGCAGGGCTGTCTGCACCCGCTCTCGCCCTACGCTCCCTTGTATTTATTTTGTTAAACCCTTCTAAAAATTAAATCTGAATTTTCTCTAAAGTATGAAGTCGTTCTCTTTAAGTGTAGGACTTCAACACCTGTACTGTTGGGGTTTGTGTATTTATGGCTGCAGGAACTGAGATCCAGGATTTGTCCCCTTGGCCTCTTGCTAGCCTGGCTGTGCCGTAGCCAAGAGTAAGCTGACATTGAAAATCACCCAGAGAATTATTTCAGCGTCGATACTGCGCGTTAAGTGCTGGTAGCAGCAGTCGGGTATTGAACAGCGAAGGCGGCCTCGGCCCAGGGTGCGAGCACTGCAGGGGGGTGCGAAAGGGCCTCAGAGGTTCCCCCCTTCCTTTCCCCAACTCCAACAGCCCCAAAGAATGACACTTTGGAGGGGAGAGGGGAAAAAGGGTGCACTTACAGTCACCGAGCGATGGGATGTACAAAAGCAAACACTCAGTGGTTGGTTTGTTTGTTTTTTAAAAAAATAATAACAAGAACAACGCCAAAACCAAACCAGCACCCAGGCCTCCTCGCTGCTGCTGCAAGCTCCAGGTGGGCACCCGTCAAATACCACCATTTGTGGGGGGGAAAAAAAAAAAAAACCATAAAAGTGACCAAAAACCCCCTCCGGATTGCGGTGTAGTAGTGTAAATAGTTTATTTGATCTTATGCCAGGAACAGACCAGGAAAGTAACATGAACTGCTTTTATAAAACACTTCTAATATTGCTAAGAAGCAGGTCTATTACTAGAAAAATATTAAAGAGAACATGCCAGCATTATAGTCTAGTTGCATGATAATTTGTCTTCCATTAAAAAAAATACCTTTGCGCTTAAGCATGTGAGAGCTAGTGCTTTTAACCATTTGCCTAACAGGTTATTAAATTAACTGTCCAATTTTCTTACGCAGGTTAAAGTAGTCTTCTGTCACGGTCAGTGAAGAAAGAGGCGATTTGGCATGTTCTCTTTAGCATGTCAAGTACACGTTGCTGTAAATGCAAGAAGGTGGCAGTTTTTAAAGTAAACTTCCTGTAAATAGGTAAGCAGAGGTCAATGTGGTAACTTTGAGCCCCAAACTGTCCATTTAGTTAAATATAAAAACAAAAACTATAAGTTAAAATAACATTCAGATTGTATAGCACAGGCTGATGCATTTTTTTTTTTAAACAATATTTACAATATTACCCAGAGGCTAAAGTGGGAATAAAAGAGGAGAAGTGTAAAAACCATAAAAAACTGCACCAATTTTGTAGCAAAATATCTGTACATTTAAAAACAGATTATCATATAACTACACATTATCCAAGAAAAAAAATGGGACCTTCACCAGTGGTTCACATAAGCACAACGTAAAAGAAAAAGAAATTCAGTGGTTAAATACTATACAATAAATTTTACAATTAACATATTGATGCAATGAGACCAGGAAAGGTAAGCTGTAAGCAAAATGTATCTTGGAAAGTACAAATTTCTCTTCAGTCCAGTTCTTCACTTCTGAGAAGATCGCGTACCCTGCCGGCACGAATTCGGCTTCATCTTGCTGCTCTGGGACGGGGGCGGGGGTGTGTGTGTGCTAAAGCCAGTCTCATTTCCCTTTTTCAGCTTTAAAAATGCAATGTAGAACCTATCACCTGTCAGGATTCTTAGGCTGGGCTTCCCTTCGCTGACCAAATGATCCTTAGCAGGGACGTTGAACTGGATTGTCCAAGGAACTTGGAGTTGTAGCGGGGTATTAATCCTACAGAGCAGGGCACAGGATGATTCTCTGCGCGAGTAACTGAACTGCAATGGTCCTCAGAATCCTAATACTGATTATTGAGATGTTAATACCTTAGTGCTAATTAATAAATACACTGTTATTCAAAAGCTGCCTCTAGCTGAAGAACATGGACGTGCCTTAGCCACCCTTCTCGTTTTGAGGATGGGCGATGCGTTTGTCCCCCCGGCACCCCCGGGCCTCAGCCCTGCATTGCACACTACAACCATCACACCCTGGAGGTGAAGACTCGTGTTCGTTCGCTATCCATCTTGTGATCACTGACGTACATGGTACCGCATCCCAGCTACGGTGGTGTGGAGCCTGTGTGTGTGGTGGGAAAAGGGTACGGGTCTCTTCTTGGAATTATTTCCATATTACATATAGAAAGCCCTTAAATGTCTTCCTTTTAAAAAAAAAAAACAACAACCAAACCAAAACCAAAAGCCAGTAAGTGCAGCTGAAGCCAAGGTTAATCCCTCGGCGGACAGCACAGGAATGCATTTAAAAGCAGAGCACGTCCGAGTGTCGCCTGTTTACAACCGGTCGGGATGCAGGTCAGGTCCACAGGAGACCAGTCGCTAAACTTTTATATAATCAAACCAAACTAAACACCCAAAAACAACACGTATTTTACATTTTGGTTAAAAATACTGAATAATGTATTGGTGTAAAAAGATACCCAATCAAATCAAGTCCTATTGCTTTGATTAATTTGAGCAGGTACTTCAATTTTAGGCACTTGTTAGCTACGGTTGAGTGGAGAGCCCCTCGCTGACGTTCCTATGCATTTTCTAGGTCTTTGAGCCCTTTAGAAGGTGAATTTTACTGTTCCCAAGGCTGTAAATGAGTGGCAGAACATAGAGTTCACATGGACAAGGTATCATTCAAGCACCCCCTTTCCTTGACACCTGCAGGTCTCCAGCTCACATGGTTATTTCAGCACCGTTTGCAGAGCGCAAGTTCTGATCATCAAAGCGCCGCCGGACGCTTCTCCTCACCGCGTCGGCCCGTCGGTACGGCTGGTTTCTAAGATCTGCGGAGAGGAAAGCGGCGTTCGTAAACACGCACGGCTCGCCCACGTGCGCACACACACACGCACACACGCACGCACACGCAGTCTAGACAAGGAAAAGTCCTGCTGGAAGCCAATCAAAGCAGCTTGTGTAGGAACAGGAGAAGGGACTTCAACCCAATGAGAGCAGAAGTGAGCAAATACTGACGTGCCCTTTTACTACGCACCCAAGCAGCGGGTAATACTGGTGAAATGCGCTGAAATGCTGGTGAAACTAAATGGCGTTATGCCGTCAAGTTAGCGTGAACGTCTCCCCACCCCCGGGCTGCTAGCGTTCGGTAACGTCAGTAAGGAAGGCAACATCAACTGAAATCAGTCTGCTTGACGTAAGCCTTGGTCTTTCAGGCAGCCTCTCGAACGCTAGCGTGAGCTGAGGGACTTTTCTAAAGCGGGATGCAGCTCACTGGAGCCGTGTGACCCAGGGTACAACGGTGCAAGTGTTTAGCAACACAAGGGTGGGTCTATGCTCCCTATACACCCACTTATTTGAAAGAGGGTGCCCTAAGAAAAAGCAGCTGGTACGCTGCAACCGGCTTGCAAAGCTCCAGCTGCCGTCTTGCCCTACTGCCACCCCTGCCACCATCTCGCCCAGCCGCAGAGATGCTTCATTAGCCGAAGGCAGCGGAGCAGCCAACCCCCTCCCTCCTCCTCCTCCCCAGCAGCAAAGCCCGGCCCCACCCCCCCTTCGGGGGGGGAGAAGAGGGGACTTCGGGAAGGAAGAGGAGGGAATGCTGAGCATGCAACGGATCGAACAGCGGAGAAAGCTGGAGATGGACGTGTTGATGAAAGCCTGTGTTACGTGTGGTGTTACATGCGTTACGTGTGCGGCTACGATATAACAAGCACACTTGGTACACCTGAAGACTAATTCTAGTGAAAATATTTCTCTCCTGGAAAACAGGTATGCGTTGGACCGGGCAACCCCCCCTCAAATTTCCTGGATGACTCATGTCTTGGTTTAAATACAACGCCCAAACCTCTCAGCTGTTGGTGTACCCCAGCAGAAGGTGCCTTTGCTTGAGGCTGCCCTCTCCCACCTCCATGCTTTGAGCTGCCGGTTGTCCGTCTCTCATGTCCCGTTCGGTGGCCGTAGCAGGACCGAGACGGGGGCAGCAGAATATCCAGGGAACTATGGGCTTGAAACAACCTGGGGACGAGACTGCCTGCCTCGGGCTAAACTTGGAAGAGAAAGGGCCAAAACGGAGAGGGTATGAAGACGGTCACCAGCCCACGGCCTACGGATCCCCTACACCACAGAGGGTGAAAATAAACGGTCTCAGTCTCCACTGGCCTTTAGGCTCTCACCAGTATTACTCTTAGCCACATCTACCAACAGGCTGTCTGGCATACAGAGAGAGGAGGAAGCTAAGTAAAAAGTGATGCTTGCCAGCTCTGTGTATCCTCCACCACCGGTGTGCTAGAAGAAATCCTTACCCTCGAGTGAACATTTGGAAATTTAGTGATATTATTCTTCTTTAGGGCTAAACAGAAAAAAAAAAAACAAAACAAAACAAAACACAAAATGATGGTTAAGTAAAAAATGGGATGGAAAATGAAGAGCAAGTCAACTCAGCGTTCAAAACTCCCAGGCACATTAGCCAACAGAGCAAGAGGGGGTAAGGCCAAGGCTACGAGAGGAGGTTAGACACGGAGAGGAAAGGACAGGAGGGCCACCCTCGCCTCTCGCTAACCAAATTCCAAGCTGCTTTGAAGATTGGCTCCAGGAAGATAATACAGCAATTAACTCGAAAGAGCAAATAACCGTTGAGCTGATTATAGTTTGCAATTTTATTAGAAGCATTCATAAAAATACATATAGCAAAAGTGAAACACTGTTGTCTTCTTAAGCCGCTGAGTCCTTAAATCAAGACAACAGTGTTAACAGACATGCTGGGTTAAACACACCCTTCTTACACTTTACACCACACGATGTAAATTGCTCAGTTCCATGTCAAGCTTTTCATCGTCACAATTTCTGCAGTTCTGGCAAATAACTGAGTGTTTCCCCAGCTCTGCTCCTTCCCTCTCCCCCCCGGTTCGTGCACCGCTGCCGCTACCGAGCT